GTGGACTGGCCCATTTTCGGGCGCTGTAGGGGAGAGGCGGCGAGTTCGCTCCCTCAAGGCGGTGGCAAAACAACAAGCTAAGCCTAAAAACCAGATTTTATGGCTCAAATACACTTTATTTGGTATAAGTCTCTACTAAAAAGAAAAATCTGCTGGTTAGTACATTTTGTTCCTTTCGCTCCTCCACCCGGTCCCCTGTACGAAGAGTACAGTCCAAAGTTTGAGCACCTGTGGGCGGCACTCCGAAAGCGGCGGGAGCTGCAATTGGTGCCTTTGAAGGCGCCTCCGGCGGCAACAGCTACTACATACCGAGATGTCTGGACATACGGGCCAGTAGGACAACCCGGGAGGTTTCGGATCGGACCCCACAAAGTGGAGGGAGCCTCGAAGAAGCCAGACCCCAGGCCTCCGAGACGACTTTTTGTGAACTGCTGCATGTTCCAAGGCACACGGTCTGAGAGCTGGGGACCCCTGCGTAGCTGCGGGGGGGGAGGGTGTATCACTGGATAGGGGCGTCACATCCTCCAGGGCGGGGCCAAACGCATGGCAAGTGTCAGGGCCAGAGAGGCGCTGAGCTTCATAGCTCAGATCTTTGCTTTCAGTAATGTTTTGATTTGGACTTGGCTTCGGCTTCCGTACTTTTTCTGTCCTGACTGCCCCACGCATCGCTCTTTTTGCTGAATGTTGTAGCTTCTGAGCAGTGTCTATTTACAGAAACGTTAGTTAAAAGAAAAATTTTAGCAAGTTATTTTATTAGGTAACAAAAGCTCCTACGGAGGTTGAAAGAAATAAAAATAATCACTGGGAATCAGAAAAATTGTTCCAAGGGTTTTCCATCTTTCCTGGTGAGACTGAGTGTGCATCATTTCTGCTAGAATTCTTTGGAATGGCGTTATGCAAGTCTACCTAGAATTAAGAATCATATGTTGTTGTTGTTATGTGCCATTGAGTCGTTTCCGACCCATAGCGACCCTGTTATAGGGTTTCCGAGGGTGTAAATCTTTACGGGAGTAGAAAGCCTCATCTTTCTCCCGCGGTGCAGCTGGTAGTTTCGAACCGCAGACCTTAAGGTTCGCAGCCCGATTCGTAACCACTACGCAAGGTGTTTAAAAATGCAAGCCTTGATCTTCGCTCCTCATCTCCCATTTTAACTGGACAGGGAATCTGCATTTCCAATCTCTCTCGCCACACACGCCACACTTCCCCCTAGTGTTCGTTTAGGAGAAGTGTTGCTTTGATGCATCTTCACTGACGAGTTTTTGTTTTAATTACTAGAGGCATACTGCCACCAGTGCATGCCTTGTATATATAGCTAGGTTCCTAGGCTGACTTGTTAAGTGCTGTCGAGTCAATTCCGACTCCTAGCAACTCTGTAGGAGGTATTCCTAGAAGCAAGCTGGTGGGTTTGAACTGCCCACCTTTTGGTTCACAGTCCAGTATTTAACCTATAGCACGATAACAACAAGCTGACTGGTGGTGGTTATGTACTGTGGAGTCGGTTCTGACTCATAGCGACCCTGTACAGGGTTTCGGAGGCTGTAAATCTTTACGGGAGCAGAAAGACTCATCTTTCTCCTGCGGAACAGCTGGGAGTTTCGAACTGCTGACCTCGAGGTTTGCATCCCGATTCGTAACCACTACGCTACCAGAGCTCCTTTGGGTTCTGAATTAGAGACCTTTGTGCACAACAGACTGAAACACTGCCAAGTCCTGCACCGTCCTCAAAATTGTTGTTAAGCTTGAGCCCATTGCTATTGGCACAGTGCCGATTCATCTCATTAGGGCTCTTCCTCTTTTTTGCTGACCCTCCACTTTACCAAGCATAAGAACCTTCTCCAGGGATTGGTCCGTCCTGATAATATGTCTGAAGTATTATGACAGACAAGTCTTGCCATCCTGGCTTCCAAGGAGCATTCTGGCCGTACTTGTAACAACACAGATTTGTTGGTTCTTCTAGCAGCCCATGGTACCTTCAATATTCTTCTCTAGCGCCATTAATTCAAATGCAGCAATTTTTCTAAGATCTTCGCTAGTCACTGTTTCAACTTTCATATTTCAGCATGAAGCTGTTGAAAATACAATGGCTTGGGTCAGCCTCACCTTAGTCCTCAGGCTTCTTTGCTCTTTAATACTTTAAATAGGTCTTGTACAGCAGATTTGTCTAATGTTAATGAAGGACCTTGCGCCTGATCAACAGAATGGCATTGCAACTACCCCCAGTTGACACTGAATGGGGTCCTGCTTGAGCTTCTGATCTCCCTGGAAGCTTGGGTCTTTGTTACACCTGGAGACCCTTCCAGGTTTCAGGAAAATCTCCATACCTCTGCCCAAATCTCCATACCCCCGCCCATTGTAAACTCACCAGAACTGTATCCAGACAACACGGCCTTTAAATACCCGAGTCTGGAAGATAACAGATGGGCTCTTGGTCTCCTTTGGTGACATCAGAGTACCCCCTCCCAGGTTTCCTCTCAATAAACTTGCCTGCTGTTGAAGTCAAGACTCTCCTTCATCTCTTTCTTTCTTTTCCTTACAGTAATACTTTGTTTGATTTCTTGACTATTGTTTCCATGAATATTAATAGTGGATCCAAGCAAAAGGAAGTCTTTGACAACTTCAGTCTTTTCTCCACTTATCATGATGTTGTTAATTGGTCCAGTGGTGAAGATTTTTGTTTTCTTTACCTTGATGTAAAATCCACACCAAAGGCTGTGGTCTTTGATCTTCATCAGTGAGTATTTCAAGTCCTCTTTGCTATCAGCATGCAAGGTTGTATCATCTGCATAAAGCAAGTTGTTAATGAATCTATCTCCTACCCTGACACCATGTTCTTCTACATATAATCCAGCATTTCAAGTTATTTGCTCATAAATGATACATAAAATAATTTAAAAAAACAAGTCTCAGACTCCCCATTCACTCTTCTTCCTCTTTAACACAGGCCCCGGTTCATGCTCCTAAAGATGACTGCCCTTCCTTGTTGCTAAGGAAGCCACATCAGATTGGGCTCAAGACCTTTAGGACAGTTGAAGATTGTTGTCTTCCAACGTGGGGCAGAAAAACTGCAGGTAATCTTTCTGTGTGACTCAGTTAAAGGAAAAAGAGGGTACCGTCATCTCTTATCTCATGCTGTTGGGATATCTTCTGCACTCCTAAGTCCACTGCTTATTCAGTAGCTCCGCTTGGAGTCTAACAGTTATTGTAAAAGTTACAGGTTCAAAATGGAATTGAGATTTTTCTCTGTACGACCCACAGTCTCCCCCTCCTCCATTGCAAGCAATAGCAACTCCACAGTAAAATCCTTAACGCCACCCCTGAGTGCTTGCTTTCACTCACACCTTCCATCTAATCTACCAGGAAACCCTCTGGGTTCTCACTTAGAAACATCCAGAATGTGACCACTTCCCACCTTGGACCACTATCATCTCTAACCTGCAATGTTGCAGTTGCAACTGGCCTCCTGTCTCTGTTCTTGGCTCCCTAGACTTTCTTCTCAGAGCAGCAGACAAATTCTTCTTGGTAGGAAACAGACTGAGAGCTTGTCCTGCCTCTGCTCAGGATTTTCCAGCGGGCGCTTCTGCCACAGTAAAGGCCAGGATGCTGACAGTTGTCCACGGGGCCTTCCGTGAGCTCTCACTGCACCTCCTCTCCTGCCTCCCGCCCTCTCTGCACTGCAGTCTCGCTGGAGGCCTCCTCCTTCTGGTCCTTGACTGCTCCCAGGCCCATGTTTACCTCAGGGCCTCTGGACTAGCTGCTTCCTGTGTCTGGAGACCTCTCCCACCAGGAAGGACTCTCCCCTCCAAGAACTAGAACTATCCACTCCCCACCCTCACCTCATCCCCAATCTGCCGGACACTACTTTATTTTTTCCCAAATACTTACTACTTTTAGCATATTTTTTCATCTGCCTCTGCCTCTTTCTACTAGATGGGCGTTCCATATACTGGCAAGGGTTTTGATAGGTCTCCAGGTATGTATTTATCCCCCGTACCTAGAGAAGTGCCTGGCACACATTTGTTATTGTTGTTGAGTGCCATCAAGTCAGTTCCAGCTCATAGAAATCCTGTATAGGGTTTCCAAGGAGCGACTGGTGGGTTTGAACTGCCAGCTTTTCGGTTAGCAGTTGAGTGCTTATCCTAGGCACTACATCATGTTGTTGTTGTTCATAGGTGCCATCGAGTTGATACCGACTCATAGTGGCCCTGTGCACAATAGAACAAAATACTACCCGGTCCTGGGCCAACCTTACTACTGTTGCCACGCTTGAGCCCATTGATGCTGCCACTTTGCCAGTCCATCTCGCTGGGGTCTTCCTCTTTTTCTCTGACCCTTCACCTTACCAAACATGATATCCTTCTCCAGCGACTGGTCCCTCCTAACAATATGTCCCAAGTATGAGAGACGAAGTCTGGCCATCTTGGCCTCCAAGGAGCACTCTGGCTGCACTTCTTCCAACACAGATGTCTTTGTTCTTTTGGCAGCCCATGGCACTTTCAGTATTCTCCTCCAACAGCATAACTCAAAAGGTGCCTAGTAATTTGTTACCCAAAAGAGTGAATGATTTGCCTATCATGATTATCAGATAATCAAATTGCTGTAGCCCAAAAAGAGAGAGAACACTAATTTTAAAAACTCTAAAATATATTTACATATGCAGCTTGGAGTCCTGGTGTGGCACTGTAGGATAAGCACTAGATTGCTAACTGCAAAGTTTGCAGTTCAAACCTACCAGACGCTCCTCGGAAACCCTATACCAGGTTGCTATGAATTAAAACCGACTCAACAGCACTTAACAACAACAACGTACAGCTTAAGAAGAAAATGACTAAATCTTCATGTCGAAACATTTTATAGAGTGGCTGAAAGAAAAGTAAATATTTTCTCATCTGACCAACCAGTCAAAATCCTGGCTAACGATACTAACAAATTCACAAGTTACGCTTTTGTATTTGGTTAAGTACTGTGTTGTGCTGTTTTCTTCTTGTTAAAGTACCAGAGAGATGGATGAGACTGTTGCCGAGTTTATCAAGAGGATTATCTTGAAAATCCCAATGACAGAAATGATGACAATCCTAAAGACATGGGACTTTTTGTCTGAACATCAACTGCAGACCATAAACTTCCGGCAGCGAAAGGAAGCCCTCATGCACAACTTGGTTCTATTCTGTGAGGTAACAAGGTTCAAATGATCACCCTTGAACAACATGCTTTCCCTTTGTTCTGTCTTTTTTCCCTTAATTCAGAGGGGATTGCAGTAAATCACTAAACTGAAAGAATGAGGGTGACATTCTGCTCCAGAGGAGAAAAGATTTACAACCCTGGAAACTATAGGGCAGTCCTATTCTGTCCTAGGGTGACTATAAGGTGGCATTAATTTAGCAGCACACAGCAACAATTGGCTTTTTCACCTTATAGAGACTCCTTAAAAATCCAAAAGGGAAAAAAGTGAATACCACAGAAAAAAACGAAATACACAAATTAAAATAATAAGCAATACTTTGTTTTCACATATCAGACTGTCAAAAAGATAATAATAGTCTAATTTATTGGCAATGTTTGGAGCAAAGAGACATTTTCTCTTTCCTGTTTATTTGTTTTCTTATTAATTTCTATTTTAAAATAACTTCAGACTTTCAGGAAACTTGCAAGTATAGTCAAAGTATTTGTATAAACACTCCCTTACTCCATTTGAAATATGTGTGTACTTCTTGACCCAGAAATTCTACCTCTGGGATTTTATACTAAACAAATAATAGAAAATAAAGACATATGTTGTTTTTAAGTTCTGCCTCATAGTATACCTGTCCAGGGTTCCCAAGGGGTGGTTGGTGCATTTGAACCACCAATCTTGCTGTTCAAACTGACTTTGTGGTCCAGTGTTTATACTACAGTGGCACGTATAGGTAAATAATGTTTTCATTTGTAAATATTTATATACACTTCGGAAAACACGGTAGCTCCATAGAATAAGCATTGGACTTCAAATCACAAGGTCCACAGTTCAAGGCCACCATCCACTCCGTGGGAGAAAGATGAGGGTTTCTGCTCTTGCAAAAATCTATAGCCTTGGAAACTCTGTACAGGGTTGCTGTGAGTAAGAACCAACTTGATGGTACACAGCCAGCCAGCCAGCTAAATGCAAGGTCAGCAGTTCCAACCCACCAGTTATTCCTCAGAAACCTTATACAAGGTTGCTGTGTGTTGGAACTGACTCCACGGCACTTCACAACGATAACAGTAGGAACTATTGAGACATGCATGCTGGGCTGCTCTCTGAAAGGTCAGCTGCTTGAACCCACGAGCGGCTCTGCTGAAGATGAGACTTTTTGCTCCTCTGAATGTTTTACAGCCTCGGAGACCCCACATAGGGGAACTATTAGAATCGACTATTGACCCCCTGGTAGTGGTTTTAACAAAAGCAACGTGTTTCATATGTATATGAGAATGACAACAAGGCATATGAAACTACACTCAAAATCACTGTGGTTATTAGGGGCCATTCAGCTAAGTCCAACTTGCCATGGCCCCATAGGACAGAGAACCACCCTGTGGGTTCTGACTTGTAACATTTATAGGACGCGATTGCTATGTCTCTCATGCAGCTGCTGGGTGCATTCAAACGATGACCCTTCAGTGGGCAACCAAGCATTTAACTGTTGCCCCCCAGGTCTCTACTGCAAAATCATTAGACAGTAGGAAAAACCACAGTGAGATACCCAACACACTTATTAGAATGACCAAAATTGGTGTGGCGCTGTGGGTTAATGCACCAGAGTGCAAAGCCGTTTAAACTGCAAGGTTGGTGGTTCAAGCTCACCATCTGCTCCTTGGACACCTATACTGGGTCGCTATGCGTCAGAACCGACTCAGCGGCACTTGACAACAACAACATATCTAGGGGTAACTGAAATTTGGAGGAACCGGAACTCCTCATACCCAGATGTTAGAAATATTGAATGGAACAACCTCTTTGGAAATCAGCTGGTTAAACATTAAATGTACACTTACCATGTGATTCAGACTTTCCACTCCTAGGTGCTCACTCAAAAGAAATGAAATATAATGTTTATACAGATGTTCATAAAGACATTATTCATAATAGCCCCAAACTGGAACCAACTCAAATGTCTATCAGTAGGTAAATGAATTAGTGGATTGTTACGTACACATACAATAGAGTACTCCTCAGCATTAGAAAAGAACGGCCTATGGATAGATGCGGAAACATGAATAAGATTTAAATAATTATACCGAATAAAAGAAACCAGACAATAAATTAATTAATTAAGGAATACATACTTATAACATTCATGTACAACATGAGATAATACAAACTAACCTATAGTAACAGTGGTGGGTGGTGGTTATGTGCCGTGGAATTGGTTCCAACTAACTCATAGTGACCCTGTACAGGGTTTCCGAGGCTGTAAATCTTTACGGGAGCAGAAAGCCTGATCTTTCTCCCGTGGAACAGCTGGTAATTTTGAACTGCTTACCTTGAGGTTTGCAACCCGATTTGTAACTACTACGCTACCAGAGCTCCTTAGTAACAGTGCATATCAGTAACGCTACCAGAGCTCCTTAGTAACAGTGCATATCAGTAATTGCTTGGGGACCACAGAGTGAGACAGAAAAGGGTGGGAGAAGGGATAGAAAAGGGACAGAAGGAAATTTGGGGGCCTGATGGGTTATGTTCATTGTTCTAACTATATTGACATCAAAACATCCAATTGTTGTTGAATGGAAAACTGATTTGCTCTATAAACTCTCACCCAAATCATAATAAATAGTTGTGTGTTTTTTTAATTAAAGCACAACCAATTGTACAGTTGAAATATGTGCCGTCTACTGTATGTCAGCTAGACCTCAGTGCTATTGAAAACATAATCACGGTGATCAGTGAGGGTAAACTTCCGGGGAAGAGTGAGTGCCTCTGGGTATGACAGCAGAAGGCAGATGGGAGACACAGGGTAAGTAAGAGTACACGTATTGAGAGCGTAGTCATCATCCTTTCTGACCAACCCTAAGATGAGCTTCAAGAAGGATAGAATCAAATCTATCACCACACTTACATACATTTTCTCTTCCAGGAGAAGTGTGCAAGTCTCAATGACGCGGCCAGCTTAGACATCATTTGTAAGTTCTGATGATTTGAATTTAAGGCTCAGGTTCTAGAATCAACGAGACTGTTTTATATCCCAACTTGGCCACTTAGCTGGATGTCTTTAGAGAGCATGCCTCTGATTTGGCTTGTCTGATTTTCTCTCATTGGGTTACAGCTACTCTGTAAAAGGTGGAGCTATACTTTTACCATTTCTTGTGCATTCCTTCACATGCTCACTGAACACCTGTCGTGTGCCAGGCAATATCCCAGGCACTGCTGAGCAAGACAAAGGTAGTTCCTACTCCCTTAGAGGCCCAGTCTCATCCAGGAGACAGACAAATGTATCACAGAAATAATCTTGCAGATGGTCATCAATGCTACAACAGAGGGAAGTAGAGAGGGCTCTCTGCGTGCTTAGTGGGACCACCCTATTTTCCACTGCAGCCTGCCTCTGTCCTTACCCTCTCAAATCCCTTAACATCACCCTCCTTTTGCTTTTTTCCATAGTACTTGTTAACCTGCTCGCTGACTATCCAATTTTTGAATGTTGCTATTTATTGTTCTCTTCTGCCCTTGCTAGACTATAAGCTTTCTGAAGACAGGGAGCTTTCCTTTTATTCCGCAAGTGCCTCAGACAATGCCAGCACATGTTGCTAAATGTTGTCAAGTGGGTTCCACTCAGTGACCTCATGTGAAACAGAACGAAGCATTCCTTGGTCTTCCACCGTCCTCACAGTTGTTCCTGTGTTGGAGTTCATCATGGCAGCCTCTGTGACAGTCTGTCTCCTGGAGAATCTTCCACTTTCTCACGGACCCTCGACTTTCCCAAGCATGATTTCCTGTTTCTGGGACTGGTCCCTCCTAATAACACATCCAGAGTCTGTGACACAAAGTTTTACTCTCCTTGCTTGTAAGAAGCGTTCTGGCTGTACTTCTTCCAAGACAGATTTGTTCATTCTTTGGGCAGTCTCTGTTACATTTATTCTTCACCAACAGGACATGTTGTTGTGGTTGTCAGGTGCCATCGAGTCGGAACCGTCCCATAGCGACCCCATGCACAGCAGAACGAAACAATGCCCGATCCTGGGCCAACCTCACTACCGCTGCCACACTTGAGTCCATCAATGATGCCACCTGGCCAATCCATCTTGTTGGGGGTCTTCCTCTTTTTCTTTGACCCTCCATCTTACCCAGCATGACATCCTTCTCCAGCGACTGTTTCCTCCAGACAATATGTCCAAAGTAGGAGAGATGAAGTTTAGCCATCTTGGCCTCCAAGGAGCACTCTGGCTGCACTTCTTCCAAAACAGATCTATTGGTTCTTTTGTCAGTCCATGGCACTTTCAGTATTCTCCTCCAACACCATAACTCAAAGGCATCAATTCTTCTACGATCTTCCTTATTCACTGTCCAGCTTTCACATCCATATGAGGTTATTGAAAACACCATGGCCTGGGTCAGGCGCACCTTAGCGCCAACAGTACTAGACATCCAATAAACATGTGTTCAGTGAATAAGTGAATGGAACACATTCTGGAATGCTGCAGAACAAGGATTGCTGTTGTTGTTAAGTGTCTTTGCGTTGGTTCCGACCCATGGCGACCCTGTATAGAGTTTCTGAGGGGCAGCTGGTGACCTTGAACTTCCGACCTTGCTGTTCAAACTGACTATGCAGTCCAGAGCATTAACCTAGAGATGATTAACGTCCTTGGAAAGGCAGTTTTAATGAAGTGGTGAACACTCACCCTCTAGAGTGGATTGACAGGATTAGACGGTAAGGCACCAGAAGCAGTGAGGATATTTAACTCGACGAGCTTTGCGAGGAAGGAGTGCAGAGCAATAGAGTGGCAGCTGGAGGGGACATAGTGCATTCCTTAGGATGATGGCTAAGTCTGCCAAGGAACAATTAGTCATGTCTGCACCAAGCTGGAAAGTTGGTTTCCATGGATCAGCATGTTTACTGCATGCCTGCTGTGATCAAGGCGTGTGTTACAGGCTGAGAAATTTTTAGGTCTAGGAAAATAATTGCAGGATAATGCACTGGACTGCAAGGTTAGTTTGAGCCTTATGGTTGGCAGTTCAAACCAGCTAGTCACTCCTCAGAAACCGTATAGAAGGTTGCTACGGGTCAGAACCGACTCTATGGCACTTAACAGCAACAACAATAGTTGGAATGTGGCATTCTGTGAACTGTGTGGGGTACTGTGTGGAAATTGAATAAATGCCCTAAGAAAGAAGTGCTAAACCTTCTATGTTATCTAGGTTGGTTACACTTTATGATTGGTTGCGTCTGAGGAAAAGAATTTTTATAATTTATTTTATTTTCATTGTTGACAATCTACCCAGCACAATATAACATCAATTGAACGGTTTCTGCATGTCCAGTTCATTGGCACTGATGACATTCTTAGAGTTTGTGCGATGACCATTGTCACCTCCCTCCAAGTGGCTCCTCGTCACTAGTATCACCCCACTGCCCTGAGTTTCCTATTGTCTGAATTTGTTGTTGTGATGTGCCGTGGAGTCGGTTCCAACTCATAGCGACCCTGTACAGGGTTTCCAAGGCTGTAAATCTTTATGGGAGCAGAACGCCTCATCTTTCTCCCGCAGAACAGCTGATAGTTTCGAACTGCTGACCTTAAGGTTCACAGCCAGATTTGTAACCACTACGCTACCAGAGCTCCGTATTGTCTGAAGTAAATCCACATAAAGTGTGTATTTTTAATAAAAATCTAATCTTGGTGAGAAGATAAAGTGGTTAAGCACTTGACTACTAACGAGTAGGTCAGTTGTTCTAACCGCACCCCTCCACCCCCTCACCCCGCCCAGGAACTCTACAGAGCAACATCTGGCAGTCTGCTTCCGTAGTGTTTACAGTTGGGGAAAATCCATGGCTCAGTTCTGCTCTGTCCTATAGCACACAACAACATCATCATCTGATTTGTGAATTCCTGTTAGTTTCAGAGTATTGAAATTATTTTAAATTACTTCAGAGTTCTCTGATAAAATGCTAATAAGCTCTTTCTTTCTCTATCAGATACTCAAGTTTTTCGACACCAGAAACTTTGGGATGTTTTTAAGATGAGTAAAAAAACAGGTAATATTTTCCATTTTAAACTGAGTATTTTATTTGACACCTTAGCCACTTAAAAACGAATAACAGTAGGTTCCTCTGACATCTCTTTTCTGTTAAAGTGAGGCGAGTATTACTCTCTTAGGAGAGAATGAGAAAGATGCTGGGGGTTGCTATACCACAGATGTTAATAGCTTGTGTGATTTGATCATTATTGGTCTGGGAATTAGAGGGTCCTTTGCAAATGCATTTGTTAAAGAAACAGAGTTCTTGATTTCTCTTTTCACTCTGGCAGGTAGAGACCCTGACCCTTTTGATGAGGACCACTTTAAACGTTCATTTATGAAGGTTCTTCGGAGAGCATTACAAAATGTAAGACTAAAATTCAATTCATTCCCATTCAATTCAATCTCATGGTACCTGTGCATTTAAAATTTCTGACTACCATGGTTTTTGTTTTTTGTTTTTTGGTTTTTGTTTTTTTTTTTTTGGTTTTTTTTTTGTATAAGTTTTTATTGTGAATTGAGTGATAGTTTAAACATGGGAGAACATCGATTTTACACTCATTGTTTCATTGCAATGGTTACTCCTTCATGAATCATCATTCATTTGCTTTCATTCCCTCTGTGTTTTTTTTTTTTTTTTTTTGGCGGGGGAGGGGTGGGCGGAGAGTTTGTACACCCAAAAATACTCAGGAATACATAATCATTTAAGCAACCAAAGGGCACATGCTGCAAGCCTTCCTCCTGGCTGCCAGCACACAGCCTTTCTCTTTCTGTTAGTCTACAGTCCTCAGCTGCTCCCTCTCTCCCTGTCTTCATCTCTGTCTCCATCTCTAGTGTCGCTGTGTCTCTGGATAGGGTCCCACATTCTGATTGTGCTCTTCTCCCTTGATGGCTCTAGGGTCCTCTGTTTCTGGACTGTAAGATGAACTACTTTCCCCTTTTTGTTACAAAACTTTTACCTTTACAATTGTGACCCTCTCAATGAGTCATCCTACCACGTTTTTAATTTAAGAAGCCCTGGTGTTGTAGTGGCTAAGTACTTGACTGCTCCCTAAAAGATCAGTGGTTTGAACCCAGAAGCAGCTGCACAAGAGCAAGATGTTTCTGGAGAGGTGACACCCTTGGAAACCTTTCAGGGCACTGCTAGTCTATCCTTAAAGGTCACTATGAGTTGGAATCAACTACATACAATGAGTTTGGTTTGGGTTTGCTTTTAATTTATAAGAAATCCAATTAGTAAATTCCATACAGGCAGTCCCCAAGTTATGAACACCCGATGTACGTGCAACCCGTAGTTACAAACCAGCCCCTGTAAAGCTTTCCAGCTCTACAGGACAGCTCATAATAACAAATGGACGACACTCTTCAAAACATTATTACTCTATTATTATAGATCTTTTCGCGTATCTGGAAATGTTGCTTGCATTTTTTATATATAGAAAAATATACTCCATATGCCAAGACAGATATTTGATGAACCATACCTAACTGTTCGACTTTATGTCCAAATAAAGGCCAGGAAGTCGTTTGTGATCTGGGGACTTTTCTACCCCATATTAGAGAAAAACTTTATATATTACGAAAGCCTCCTTATCCCCTCACCTGTTGATTCAAGACCTGATGCCTCTTGCTCAAGACCAGCGTGGCCCGTAGAACTGTCCGTGATGATGGACATGCTCTATCTAGGAGGCTGCTGTCCAGTACTCTAGCTGTGGCCACATGTGACTCGTGTAACCGAGGAACTGAATTTTTTATCTTATTTAACTCTAATGGATTTAAATGAAACTGCCACATGTGACTAGAGGTTACCTAGCAACAAGCCCTGATCTGATGAATTTGACACTCGGGGCATGGCCCCAGCAGTCTGGTTTCACAAGCCTTCCAGGATCCCCTGGTACACAATCAAGTTTAACAGCCACTAGGATAGTTTTATCACAGAAGTCCTTGGCCTGGTCTCTCAACATTTAGGCTGACTGTAAACTCCTACGTAGGCCAGGCCCTGTTCTCAGCGCGTGGGAATTACTCACTGCATTAGGTCATGCTTCCTGGTAGGTGGTACCCAGGCAGGTGGCTGCAGAAGCTACATCCCTTGCCTTTACACTGGACAGATTCTCCCCACTTAGCCCCTGGCCAGGTGCCTGATCCTGGGAGGAGAAAAACCCACACCATTCATTGCGCTCAGGAAGGTCACACACCAGACAGACAGCAGTGGGTGACCCCTCATTTCTGAACCCTGACTCTGGCCTGGCTGTCTTCTCCCCATCCTAAGTGCTCCTTTACTAACTGCTGTTTGCTGAGCCCTCCTTCCATAGAGAAGGTAAGCTTTTTGCTTGGAGCAAGGGAGGGAGGGAAGCAGGGCTAAGGCTCGATCTATCAGGTCTTTGTCATAGGGCTACCGCATTGTCCTGGCACCATTCGGTGACCCATTGCGCTTTCTTGACTGGTTTGCCATCTGTTGAACCAGACTCTCCTGGGTTTCATGTGAGCCAGTATCCTGCTCACTGGTCTCTTCTTTGCCATGGCCGCCTTGACCCCCTGCCTGCTTTACTGTTCCATGCTACAATCCAGCCATGGTTTGTAGGACTCATCTGCACTGAGCTACATTCCAGCCATGCCAAACTCAACTTCTCTTGAGTTCTTGAACTGGTTTTGCTCTCTTAATCTTTATGCTGTTCCTGCTCCTTGGAGCAAGCTCTACCCCACCCTGACCTTTGCACAACTTATGGCTATTTATCATGAGCTCCACTTAAATAGAGTTTTCTCTGAGAGCCTTCCCCAGACTCCTGAGACCATTCCCTTCGGTGTCTGACTACTCCCCACATAATACTCGGTGCAGTTCCTGGTGTAATTGTCAGTCTCCTACGAAGGTCCTGAGAGTGGGAATCTGATCTGCGTGCACCCCACAGTCCCAGCAAATGCTGGTTAATCAGTAAGTGAGTCACCAAAACCCAAACCCACTTCCATCAAGTTCATTCCAACTGAGGTTCTCATGGCCCATTAGTCCACTGGTCTACTTGTCTCCATGTGGCTTCAGAATTCTTCACTCATGTGGACAGGGAGAGACCAGTAGTCTTAATGACAGTGATCCCTAGGCACCCCTAAAAATTAGCCGTGTGTGGTGCCACAATTGAGATTTTCTTTTGGAAACTTTTTTTTTTTTTTTTTTTAAACAAGGTGACAGTCAGCTTCAGAGATGGTGAGGAGAATGCGATGTGGATTCGAATTGCCTGGGGAACACACAATACGAAACCAAACCAGTACAAAGCTACTTACATGGTATATTATCCTCAGACTCCGTATGTATTCATCTCGTTCTCCAGGCTGAAGAGGAATTTACCCCTCCTGAGTCAGGTAGGGAATGCATTCTGATAAAGTGTCACCTTTTTATCATCTTTATTGCCAAGGACTCTGTAGGTTTGGAGCTCTAGTGTAGTGGTCAGGCACTCAGCTGCTGACTACAAGGTCAGCAGTTCAAATCCACCAGCCACTCTGAGGAAGATTAATGTGGCAGTTTGCTTTCATGTAGATTTCAGCCTTGGAAATTTGGAGACAGTTCTACTTTGTCGTAAAAGACCACTTATGAGTCAGAATTGACTTGATGGCAATGGAAATGGTATGGGTGATTAGGTCTAAACTGCTTCATAAGCATCTGATATGAAATATCACATATAATTCTTGACCTCCTAAAGTAAAGAACAGAATAGATAGTTATTTTGTAAGTAGGAACATGCCAGAGACATGGATTTGGATCTATTCTTTTTTTGTCTTTTAATCTAGAATTAATACATGATGGGCGTAAAAAATTCAACCAGTGCAGAAGTCTCAAACAATGCAAGTCTTTCAGAACTTCCTGTCTTCTTCCCCAGTTCCCTTCTTGCCAAATAACTAATGTTAAGAGTTTTGCGCTCTTACCCTGGCCTGATTTTGGCTGGATCTGGAGCGTCTCCACCATGTCTCTGCACAGATATAGTCGATTTCTTTGCCTTCCAGATGGGTCTCATGAGGTCCATGTGTATGTATAGTCATCAAGCCATGGTATTTTCAGGAGTCTCATGTGCATGTGAAAGTTGGTCAATGAATAAGGAAGACCGTATAATTGATGCATTTGAGTTATGGTGTTGGAAAAGAATATTAAAAGTACTGACAGAAGAACAAACAAGTCAGTGTTGGAAGAAATACAGCCAGAATGCTCCTTTGAAGCCAGGGTAGGCCAGACTTCGTCTCTCATACTTAAGGCATATTATCAGGAGGGACCAGTCCCTGGAGAAGGAAACCAAGCTTGGTAAAGTGGAGGGTCCGTGAAAAAGAGGAAGACCCCCAAAGCGGTAGATTGGCACAGTGGCAGCAGCAGTGGCCTTAAGCACAGCAACAATTGTGAGACTGGCACAGGGCTGGGCAGTGTTTCGTTCTGTTACGCACAAGGTCGTTCTGAGTCAGAACTGATTTGATGGTGGCTCACCACCAACAACCAATTGAGGAGAGGAATGGGAAATCCAACAATTGTTCCAATTCCATGTGCTACCTACTGATTGTACTAATTTCTGAAGACATTGTCTTAGCAGACAGCAGATAAGGAGAAAAGTTGTTACTATATGTCGGTGGACTTGGTTCTAACTATTAGAGAAGCTGTGAGTGGAAATAAAAGAACTGTACTAGAGCTAATTGTTACAAGAAAGCAAACGAGCAATATCATAAGCATCCACAATAGGTTAACAGTCTCAATAGATATATTTCAAGGGGGTAATCTTGGTGGATATTCTTGAAGAACACGGGATAATCATGGAGGCTTATAAAGATGCTTTAAGTCTGACTGCAAGTGCCAAGCTTTGCATTCAGTGCCTCAGAGTCTCAGTTAAGACTCTGAGATTTCTATAGCAGTCCCACAATGTGCATGAAACCTAGGTTAGCAGAAATTTAAAGTGGTGTCGTAGTGCAAAACATCTGTAAGAAAGCTCAGAAAAAGAAAGGCAACCGGTTGCCAGAGCACAAATAGAAAATAAACTGAGTGTTACTAACCAGTAGATGGCAGTACGGACACACAAAACGTTTGTCAAGATAAACAGAAACGAAAAGGAAAAGACTTGAGTTTACTGTATGTAATAGCCCACTAAATTTTTTTAATTCTTTATAAAAATGAATCACAAATTTCCCTTTTTATTTATTTTAAAGAAAGTTTTTTGTTATGAATTGAGTGAAGGTTTACAGAGCGGATCATCAGTTTTACATTCAAGAAATCACACATTTGGTTTCATTTCACAATTCCACTTCCACCCTGCGGTTCTAGTTTCCCGTCTGCCTTCCTTCCCACCCTTTCTGAATTTTGGCCTTAGGTAAAAGCTGCCCTTTTGATTTAAAAAAAAACAGAAAGTTTTGCACTTTCCTTCCCCTTCAGGACGGATCTTCACAGCCTCTTTGCATGCTGTGTATCATTCGCATGCTGCCTGCTCTTTCTGAGAGCATCATGTATCATGTGCCTCACAGTGGACAGTGTTTCTGGTGGTCACCACTTCCCATCATTCTGTACCCATGACAGGTCCTTAAACGTTAGCTGGCTCTGCTCTGATAGCACTAAAACCAAACCCCCTGCCGCAGAGTCGTTCCTACTCAGAGCACCCTGCTGGACTGGGTGGAACCCTTACTTAGGGTTTACAAGGTTGTAAGTCTTTATAGATCAGACAGCCTCATCTTTCTTCTGTTAAATGACTGGTGAATTGAGAACCACCAGTCTTGCAGTTAAGGAGCTCTGGTAGCGTAGTGGTTACGAATCGGGCTGCAAACCTTAAGGTCAGCGGTTCGAAACTACCAGCTGCTCCGCTGGAGAAAGATAAGGCTTTCTACTCCCGTAAAGACTTACACCCTCGGAAACCCTGTACAGGGTCGCTATGGGTCGGAACCGACTCAATGGCACATAACAACAACAACAAAGTCTTGCATTTAACCAGCCAAACGCTTACCTCACAGCGCGTCCAGGGCTCCTTTTGGTATCACCAGCATCCTAGAGTCTTCCTGTGGTCAGCCTTCCGGAATTGGCCTGGCGACCACTGCAGCTGCCCCTCTCTGTGAGTATGCACAACCACAGCGGCACCCAAATTAAGTTCAGAGCCACCTCTGGGGCTGGTTGTAGGTAAGCAGCTCTGCTGTCCTGAGTGCACCTTCCAGGTGATCGAGGAGACCCAGCATGCCACTGTTGGGAGCCCAGGGAGACACAGGGTCCCAGCCCTCCTGCTTCCTTGTTGTATAAGTTCCAGAGTCATTGATTACAACAACAGCATGACTTCTACTGTTAGCTTCTCCCTCCCTATAACACTTCCCTTTACTTCTTCATACCTGGGGCCTCTCCCTCCAGGATACATAATGGGTGTTTGTTCATCTGCTTTGAGTGGGGTGATCACACTCTGCCACAGTCAATTTCAACCTGACCTTAAAGACTGATGTTCATTTTGTCATGGGCCTCACAGATTCTCTAGCTCTAGAGACATGCCTCATTCTATTAGCTCTGCTGGTTTCACTAGGTCACGGAAAGCTTCTATAAACACATTCCATTGTTTTTTCCATATTTGTACTAAAGCCCACTGCCATCAAGTGTGTTCTGACCCGTAGTGACCCTGTAGAGGGTTCCCGAGGCTGTCCATCTTCACGAAAGCAGACAGCCTCATCTTTTTTCTGCAGAGCAGCCAGTGGGTTTGAACTGTCAACCTTGAGGTCAGCCATTCATTGCTTATCCTACAGAGCTACCAGGGCTCCTTCTAGCTGCAGTAAAACCTCCGTGTTTTCATTTCTGTAGGGCAGCATCTATGTACTGTTTGATCGTTGGTTTTCTAAAAACTAACATTTTGAGTATTTATTGTTTAGCCTGAAGTTAATTTATTATAATTCTTTCCTTTAAACAAGATCGATCGACTTTTTAAAAACGGTACAAAATACTTTGCATTTATGAGGCTCTTAATGCCGCTAATCACTTGTTTTCATTACGTAAGCTGAGAAACCAACCCTGAAATTGTGTATTTCTGGATTTCTTTTCCGCTCTTCAGTGAAAAGTGCTCACTGATTGCAGCTCGTACATTTTGCTTTTACATAGACTCTGAATACGGGCACAGTAATTCTAATTGCTTTGCTCACTTCCACTTCCAGGCACTGGCTGTTGCCACGAAATACCATCAGATTGAGAAAGTGGACTTGCGGAGCCGCTATCTGGACTCGCTGAAGGCTATTGTTTTTAAACAGTATAATCAGGTGAGCCAATTGGTGACTTAAGTCTTCACTGTCTATTTCACGTGTGGGTCAGAATTTCTGCCTGAACAGGTGAGAAAGGCCAACAAGAGAAGATCACTAGCTATTGATGAAGTGAAGAGAAAGCTCTGACGAAGTTACCGTGAAAGCGAACACAATAATTTCTCACCATCATCTTTCTGTAATTTCATATTGTGTGTTGTGTTTGTTGCTTGTTGTTACTGTTGTGTGCCAGTGAGTCCGTTCCATCTCCTGGCACCTCTGTAGGACAGAGAACCTGCCCCATCGGGCTTCGTAGACGATCTTCATGGGAACAGTTCACCGAGCCTTTTCTCTTACAGAGCCACTGGGTAGCTTCACACCGCCAACCTTTCAGGAAGTAGCTGAGCGCTTAACCAGTGCTCCACCAGTGCTCCTTTTCTATTGCTCATTAGTCACTGGAATCTGCCTTACAGACCCACATTGCCAATTTGATTTGATTTTCTCCTTAGATTAATTTGTTGTTAAGTGCTGTCGAGTTGGTTCTGACCCATAGCGTTACAGGGTTTCCAAGGAGCAGCTGGTGAGCTTAAACCGCCGGCCTTGCAGTTCAAATGGCTTTGCAGTCTGGCGCATTAACCCACAGCGCCACACCAGGACTCCTTAGAGTAACTAGATACTCTCTTTTCAAGCTAATTGTGATATAATAGAGCCATCACCAGGGAGCTCTGGTGGCACTGTGGGTTAAATGTTGGGCTGTTAACTGCAAGGTCAGCGGTTCAAACTTACCAGCCCCTTCATGGAAAAAAGATGAGGTTGTCTGCTCCCATGAAGATGTATAGCCTCAGAAACCCTAAGGAGTCCTTCTCTGTCCTATGAGGTTCCTGTAGGTCAGAAATGACAATGGGTGGTGTTGTAGTTGGTGTAGCTGTCACTAATCTATTGTCATAGTGTGGGAGCTTGCACATTGTTTTGTTGCAGGAAACTGTGTTGTTGTTGTTAAGTATCAGCAAGTCAGTACTGACTCATAGCCCCCCTGTTCTCCTGCATAGGGATTCAAAGGAACAACTGGTGGGTTTGAACCGCTGACCATGTGGTTCAACCTGGCCTTGCGGTCCAGTGATTTATCCTACAGCGCCACAGTTTGCAGTATAGTTAGTGCTTATCAGACAGCACAATACCAGGAGTCCGCAGGAATCTATGAACATTTTAAAGGCCATCAGGGTCACCCGTGGTGAGTAAGTTTTAGCAGAGCTTCCTGACTGAGACAAAGTAGGCAGCTAATTTCTTCCCAGAATTAACCAGTAAAACCCTGTGGGTCCAACAGAATATTGTTTGACGTTGTGCTGGAAGATGAGCCCCCTGTATGAGAAAGCACTCAAAATGCACAATGGCCACAAGAATGAATTGGAGCATGCCAGTGACCCTGACCTTGGCTCAGGACTAGGCAGCATTTCATTCTGTTGGATGTGAGGGCACCAAAGTTAGAATCCATTTACAGGCAAGTAACAGAAACAGCACCACCGTAATATAGAAAGGCGTGTCTTTGTCCTTTTTCCCGTCCATCGATTGGAGCAGGTGATGCATGGATTAGAATAAAGAAATAAGCACTGTTTGATAAGCACTGACTGCAAACCACAAAGTCAGCAGTTCAAGCCCACCAGTTGCTCCTTGGGAGAAAGATATGGCTTTCTGCTCTCACAAAGATTTCAAAAGCCTTGGAAACCCTGTACAGGGTCACTCGACGGGCACGTAACAACAACAACAATAGTTTATTAAGTCCCATAATTTATTTGTTAACTGTTATTTAAATGCATTGCTTTCCTTGAATGACAAGAAATGACCTGTCCCCATTCAGCAGGCTCAGGTTAGTTTTTCCGTCTGCAAATGCAAGCTCATGTGATCCTCAACTCCTGGAGCTATTCTTAATGCCCTGCTTACCTCATGAGCCCTTAAATCTGAGAAGCAGTGGAATCTACCAAAAGAAGTTAGCTGACCATATTCTCCTATGGTTCTCCTACCCTGCACACACACACACACTCAGAGAACTGGTCTACACTGCTCTACCATTACGTCAACAGCTTCAGTGGGAGAAGATGGGATTAGGGGCTAGAGGGATTCAAAGTTGCAGTATATAAATTAGTTTTTCAAAAGAAATCTCATGAATTTTAGAGGGCTCTGAAGGTGTCTTGAAATCCTCTAGCTTTAATTGTGCTTATCGGATTATGCAGATCTGTTTTTATGATCCACCAAGGACCACCCAGCCACCAACGCTGTCCTTTCCAACTCATAAGGCCCCGACAGGACAAGGTACAAGTGCTCCAGATGATTTCTGATACTGTAAATCTTGACAGGAGCAGATAGCCTCATCTCTCTCCCATGGAGCAGATGGGTTTGAACCAGTGACATTGCAGTTAGCAGCCCAATGTTTACCCTACTGTGTCAGCTGTGTTCCTTCCTCAAACAAAGCCGCCACGTGGCTCACCCCAGTAGTCTGCTTGTAGACATCCTCCTGTGGGAGCAACCTGTAGCTCAGCCAGACATGACTTATGATCTCTCTTCATTAAAAAAAAATCATAGACAATAGGATTTGGCCTATTGTTATGTACTAAACCCACCTGTTCTGCAGGAGAAAGATGGGGCTTTCTGCTCCTGTAACGATTTACAGCCTTGGAAAACCTATGCAGGGTCGCTCTGAGTCAGAACCGGCTGCACAGTACACCATTACCACCAAAACCAATTAATACCCACACTTCAACATGTCAAAATTAGGAGGCACTTAGACCAATGGAATGACTTAACAGACCAGAAATCAATCAACCTTTACACCTCTGGACAGTTGATTTTCAACAAGAACGTCAAGTCCATCCAATGAGGAATGTCCCTAATAAATGGCATTAAGACAATGGAATTTCCACAACTGAAAGAATGAACCTCATCTCCTTGATCTCTACATGGATCAAGGTCCTAAATGTTAGAACCAAAACCATGAAACTCTTTAAGAAAGCAAAGGGGCAGTGCTCCAGGGCCTGCCTTTTAACAGTCGATTCTTAGGTACGACATCAAATGCATAAGCAACAAAAGACAAAATAGATAAATTGGACTTTATCAAAATTAAAATACTCATCAAAGAACTTTATCAGCCAGGTATGTCAAAGTTGGACAATAAATAAAGAAGACTGTAGAAGAACTAATGCATTTGAGTTATGTGGTTGGAGAAGAACACTGGAAGTACCGTGGACTTCCAGAAGAAGAAATTGATCTATATTGGAAGAACTATAGCCAGAATCTTCGAAGCCAAGATGGCTAGACTTCATCTCTCCTACTTCAAACATATTATCAGGAGGGACCAGTTCCTAGAGAAGGACATCATGCTCAGTAAAGTGGAAGGTGAGCGAAAAAGAGGAAGACCCCCAATGGGATGAACTGGCACAGCAGCAGCGTGAATGGGCTCAAGTGTAGCAACAATTGTGAAGGTGGTGCAGGAGTGGGCAGTGTTTCATTCTGTTGTATGCGGGGTGGTTATGAGTCAGCGCTCCTGACAACAACAACATGAGATCATGTGCCAGGACCCATGTATCTGATAAGAGTTTAATCTTCAGGATATATAAAGAACGGCTTAACACAAAGGCAACCCAATTAAAGCGTAAGTATATGACCTGGATAGATAGTTCACCAAGGTAGAAATGCAAATGGCCAAGGAGCACATGAAAAGATATTCAACATTATTACTCACTGTTGTGTTATATGTGCTGTTGAGTCGATTCTGACTCTTGGCAACTTTGTATAGTGTTTGTGAGGAGCAGCTGGTGGGTTTGAACTGCCAACATTGCATTGGTTAGCAGTCCAGTGCTTATCCTACAGCGGGTTTGACACCCTTGTGGAAAATCAACTTTCTATAGGTGTCCAGGTTGATTGATTTCTTGTCTAAGTACCTCCTGATTTTAATATTTTGAAATATGTACCCATACTTCATACTCAGTTCATACCCACTAAGATGTTAATGATCTGAAAAATGGAAAAGAATGTTGGAAAGGATGTGGAGAAATTAGGACTCTCATCCATTGCTGGTAGGATTGTGAAGTGGTACATACAGCTGGAAATGGAAAACACTTTGACGGTTGATCAAAGAGTTCAGCATGGAATTACCATTGTTGTTGTTGTTGTTAAGTGCTATCGAGGCACTTTTGACTCATAACGACCCTGTGTAGGGTTTCAGAGGAGGAGCTAATGAGTTTGAACCACCAACCTTGTGGTTCAAACTGACCTTGTGGTCCAGTGCTTTATCCTACAGCAATCCCACTCCTAGGTATAGACCTAAGAGAACTTAAAGCAGGAACACAGATCCTTGCATACCGATGTTTACTGTAACACTATTCACAACAGCCAAAAGGTGGGCCCCACCTAAATACCTATCACCAGATGATTGAATAAACAAAGTGCGGTATGTACTTGTAATGGAATACTGCTTAGCTGTGAAGAGAGATGACGTCTGTATAAATATAGTGACAAGGAAGAAACTTGAAATACATTATGCTGAATGAAATAAGTGAGTCATAAAAGGAGAAGTATGCAACCCCACTTACATGGAACATCTAAAACAGACAAATATAAACAGATCTGGTTTTATTGGTGTTGGGAGTTTGATGTTCACAGGATAAGCATTATTTCTGCAAAACACAGTCGGCAGTTTAAGCCCACCAGCTACTTCATGGGAAAAAGATGAGACTTTCTGCTCCCACAAAGATTTAAAGCTCTGGAAACCATACACAAGATCACTATGAGTAAGAAACAACTCCACGGCACTTAACAACAATAAAATTATTTATTAGTTAGCGTAGTGGTTATGAATCGGGCTGCAAACCGCAAGGACAGCAGTTCGAAACTACCAGCTGTTCCGCAGGAGAAAGATGAGGCGTTCTGCTCCTGTAAAGATTTACAGCCTCGGAAACCCTGTACAGGGTCGCTATGAGTCGGAACTGACTCCACGGCACACAGCCAGCCAGCCAGGAGCAAAGTGGGTCCTAGTGTGGCAATGTGTTGCTGTTGTCAGGTGCCATTGAGTCGGAATTGACTCATAGCGACCCCATGCACAGCAGAACGAAACAATGTTCAATCCTGGGCCAACCTTACTACCGCTTCCACACCTGAGTCCATCAATGATGCCACCTGGCTGATCCATCTCGTTGGGGGTCTTCCCTTCTTTCTCTGACTCTCCACCCTACCCAGCATGACATCCTTCTCCAACGATTGTTTCCTCCGGACAATATGTCCAAAGTAGGAGAGACGAAGCTTTGCCATCCTGGCCTCCAAGGAGCACTCTGGCTGCACTTCTTCCAAAACAGATCTATTGGTTCTTTTGGCAGTCCATGGCACTTTCAGTATTCTCCTCCAACACCACAACTCAAAGGCATCAATTCTTCTACGATCCTCCTTATTCGCTGTCCAGCTTTCGCATCCATATGAGGCTATTGAAAACACAATGGCCTGGGTCAGGCGCACCCTAGTCCTCAAGCTGACATCTCTGCTCTTCAACACTTTATAAAGTTCCTGTGCAGCAGATTTGCCAGTGTGGCAATGTAGGATAAACTAACCCCAAGTTGGGCAGTTCAAATCCACCAGCCACTCCTCTGAAACTATATAGGGGCACTATGAGTTGGAACTGACTCGATGAAACTTAACAGTTAATGGGCAAGTTGGGCTGCTAACCTCAAGGTCAGCAGTTCGAAACTACCAGCTGGTCCGCGGGAAAAAGATGAGGCTTTCTGCTCCCGTAAAGATTTACAGCTTCAGAAATCTTGTACAGGGTTGCTATGAGTCGGAACCGACTCCACGGCACATCACCACCACCACCGATAGATAAAAAGAGTGGGGGGCTATGGAGGACTCATTACTTGGGGAGGTCACAAAACTTCTGTTAATCGATGTAAAAATTTAGAAGTAAATAGTGATTAAACAACATAAACATGATTAATGTCATGGAATTGTGTATGTACAAAATGTTGAAATAGCAACTGTTTCATTATATTAACCACAAAAAAAGTTAAAATTAAGGAAACAGTGACTTTTTTTTTTTTTTATCTTCTAGGTCTTTGAAACTCATAATTCGACTTCACCTCTACAGGAAAGAAGCCTGTGGCTCAATACAAATAGTATGTATGTCTAAGATAAAACTGGAAGTTTTGGTGGTTTAAGGGCTTTGGTTTTTTTAAGGAGCCCTGGTGGTATAGGGAGTTACAAGTTGAGCTGTTTACTGTAAGAAGGTTAGCAGTCCCAATCTGCTGGCCACTCCAAGGGAGCAAAATGAGGCTTTCTACTCCTGTGAAGATTTAAATCCTCGGAAACCCTATTCCGGCTCTGTATGAATCGGAATCGACTCAACAGCACTTAACAACAACATAGGTCCTTGGACCCTCAGTTTTCAATCTTTCATAGTAAAAAATAAATGGCTCTCAGAAAATTGAGAATTAAAATTTGTGAAAGGAGGGGCGCTAAGTCAACGTAGGTTTCTTACAGAATGATCTAGAATGACATCTGATAAATGAAACAAAACTTAGCTAATAGTGTTTGAGCATTTCTTCTGTGTCAAACGCCTTACTAAGATGTTAATCTGTATGAGGGGGCTTCAAAAATTTGTGGAGAAATTTCATTGTCTTTCAATCCAGTTTTTCCCAAAAATGAACTTTTTGAAGCCTCCTAGTACTGGTGTGGCACTGTGGGATCAGCACTGGACTGCTAGCCACAAGATCGGTGGTTCAAACCCACCAGCTGCTCCATGGAAAGTCTATACAGGGTTGCCATGAGTCGGAATTAACTTGTCAGCACTGACCAGCAACAAATATGCATGTATTATTCCTGTCATCTGCATGTAGTTCCATGAGTTGCCTCCTTACCAGGAAGCTGGGTTTCAGAGGGGTTTGGGAACTTGCTGGGCAAAGGTACACAGCTGGTAAGGGGCCGAGACCAGGGCAGAAGTGGGTCTGCCCGAGTCGAGCTGAAGCTTTGAATGCTGGATAAGGTGCTGGAGAGTCACTAGAATTGTAACTGCCGTCACTGTTGGCCGACCTCAGAGTGTCTCCTTAGGAAGCTCGAGACTAGAGAAGCAAAAGTATGGGAAAGTACTGAAGTGTAATATGCATTTATAAAAGCAAAAACATTCCCATGTCGGCAGTAAAAGGAAATGGTGCCATTCTTCTGAGCGAAACATTCTTAGGTCTTCTCAATAGCTGCTCTGTATTTCATCTTAAGAGAAAGAAGTGTCATACAAAACTATATTTTAGAATCCCATCCATAAATATGTACGTTTGTAAAATATGTGTATTTTCAAGTACATATGCAGTACATGTGTGTTTCCAGGCCCCTAGGAAAGACCAAAACCGAAAGGAATGTAAGATTTGGAAACGACAGATTAATCAAACAGGCTTATCTCTGGTTGACTTTAGAAACCAGATTCACTGGTTTCAAAATGGATATCTGACAGCACCATAGCTCTGCCCAAGGCCATTCCTCCTGGAAGTGAAGGGATTAGGCTAGTTAACCCAAATCTGTCTTGCCTTAAAATCCGAAACCCTGCATTTCAAATCACCTGTCATCTCGCAGGTTTCAGGAATAGCTGATTTCGAACTGCTGACCTTGAGGTTAGCAGCCCAATTTGCCCATTAGCTGTTAAGTTACATCGAGTCCGTTCCAACTCATAGTGCCCCTGTATAGTTTCAGAGGAGTGGCTGGGCAATAAAATTAGGGTGAGTTTAATTTCCTTTTTTTTTTTTAATAATCTGTAGTGTCCAGCTTTTCTATAAAAAACCATTCCTGGTACAGTCAGGAGAAGAAACAGTAAATAGCATGGAACCTGTGAGAGCCGGAACGCAACGGGACCGCGTTGCTTTTCCAGGTCTCACGAGTTCTCTCCACCTTTGACAGGGCACAGTCTTACCATTTTTCTATGACTCTGTTTAGTGGAAAATAGTTTTAGTTTTCCATCTCAAGACAGGTTTTTGCCTTACACAGGTTCTGGCTTTAGCAGGTTTTCCTTTGCAAGCAAGTTGAAGTGTTAGGTACAAAAAAGAAGATGGTTTAAGGAGGATCTATTTCTAACTGCTATTGCATGTGAAATCTCCCACCTGTAGTGGATTTAAGGATCATTCATGAAAACCAACTCGAAAAAGAAAGAGTCTTAAAAGTGACGCAAGAAACGTTTGGAGACTACCCTCAACCAAGACTAGAATTTGCACAATACCAGGTAAGATGTGGTTGTACTCTAACTACAAGTTATCAACATTTTTTAAAAAGCCAACCTTAAGTGGAAAACGGCTCTAAGGAGTTCTGTGTTTATTTATCACTTGAATTTCATACATTTGTTACATAGCCTCTTTACTCTATTATAGTTGGTTCTTAGAGATTCTGTGTCCAACAGAATGAAACACTGCCCCGTCCTGCACTTTCCTCACAGTCTTTGTTATATTAGAGCTCGTTGTTGCAGCTGCTCTATCAATCCATGTCATTGAGGGTCTTCTCTTTTTCAATGACACACTACTGTACCAAGCATGATGTTTGTTTCCAGGGACTGGTCCCTCCAGATGAATAGCCCAGAGTACATAAGACAGTCTCTCCATCCTTCAGAAAAGCATTCCAGCTCTGCCTCTCCCAAGATAGATTTGTTCATTCTGCTTGCAGTTCATGATATGTTCAGTATTCTTAGCCAGCCCCGTAAGTCAAAGGCATCAATTCGTCTCCAGTCTTCCTTCTTCACTGCCCAACTCTCACATGTTTATGAGGCGATTGAAAATACCTTGGCTTGGGTCAGCCACAACATAGTCCTCAAAGTGACATCTTTGCTTTTTTAACATCATAAAGAGAACTTTGGCAGCAAATTTGATGTCATAGGTTTGATTTCTCACTGCTGCTTCCATGAGTGTTATTGGTGGATCCCGGTCCAATGAAATCCTTAACAACTTCAATCTTTATATAAGATTCTCCATTAGCAAAAGAGGCCTGTGGAAAGTTTGAATTTGCCATTGCATTATGTATACATTTCATTTATATATGTATAACAGGCTGTGATCTGCATTTTTGAGGGAAAAAATTGTTCAGCCTGACCTGTAGGTTTGACAACTTTCTAAACTGTCACAAGGAGTCCTGGTGTGGCGCTGTAGGATAAGCACTGGGCCGCAAGGTCAGTTTGAACTGCAGGTTGGTGTTTCAAGCTCACCAGCCACTCCTCAGAAACCCTACACCAGGTCACTAAGAGTCAGACTGACTCAGTGGCACTTAACAACAACAACAAACCATCACAAAGAAACCCTGGTGGTGGAGTGGGCTAAGCATTGGCTGGTAACCTGAAGGTTAGTGGTTCAAGCCCACCAGCTGCTCTTCGGGAGCAAGATGAGACTGTCTGCTCCCATAAAGATTTATAGTCTTGGGAAACCATATGGAAGAGTCTGCTCTGCCTTGTGCAGTGTTCTCTGAGTTGGAACTAACTTGATGCGATAGTCTTGGGGTTTTTAGCCTGTTGCATCTAGAACACTGTTTGGCACACAGCAGGTGTACTTCCTAAATAAAAGCCTGAACAAGTAAATCACTGCATAGTTCAGCTGGTATCAGTTACCTAGACAACACATCATCCTAGTTCATTTTGGAAGTGGGCCACTGCTCACCTGAAAGGCCAGGTGAGAGGTTTCAAGTGTTTAACGCAAGCCCATTGTCACCTTTAAAATACCTCCTGGTTTAGATCATGATTCTGAAGTCCATGGCCAACATCTATAGCATTCTCTCTGCAGTCTCCCTACACCTCTGGGCCACACACCTTCTGTCACTGGTCTGCTCTCATTGATCCAAAGCCTGTTCAGTTGATTTGTTTTTAGTGAGTGAAGTGGATTGGCAGTTTATAAGATAGATTTCCTTAGTGGCTGGCTTTAACCCCATTCCTTAAAACTGCTCATAACTTAGGTCCAAAACCCACTGATGGTGAGTCAGTCCCAACTCATAACAACGCTATTGGACTGCCCCAGAGGGCTTCCAAGAATAAAAATATTTACTGAAACCAAGAGCTGTACCTTTCTCCTACTGAGCAGCTAGCGAGGTCCAACCTCCAATCTTTTGTTTAGCAACTGAACACTGGAACTGTACCACCAGGGTGCCTTTAATCTAAAATTATTGTTGAGTGATGTCGCGTCTATTCCAACTCACAGCAACCTGAACAGGGAGATATGGTACTCAAGATAGTCTCCCTACACCAGCAGTACTAATAGCCCCTGGAAGTGTATAAGAAACACATATTCTTGGCCCCCTCCTAGTCTTGCTGTGTTAGAAATGGGATGAGGCTTAGCAATATTATTTTTTTAACAAGCACTCTTATCTGATGCTGAGCACTGAAGTTAGAGAACCACTGGTCTAGGAAAATGAGATTTGATTTGCAAAATTTCCTTGTACACATATCTTTTGTAAAACCTTCCTGCCATTGAGTCAATTCCAGCTCATCGTGACCCTTTAGGACAGATTAGAACTGCTCCTTAGGGTTTTACTGTGGAGCACACTGTCTCCTCTTTCCACCTTGCATTTGGCAGCCTAATGCTTAAGCCACAGTGCCACCAGGCTCCTTACAGAAACCTGAGGATGACTATTCCATAAGTCAGTACCATATGAGAAGGCGTCAAGAAGTTCGTGGAAACATGGAAATTTTACACCAACCTCTTGGAAGTCTCCACATCTATTCATTCATACATGCTACTGATTTCCCCCCAACTTTTGTATTTTGAAAAGTGTTGAACCTTTAAAAGACGTGCAAGAAGACAAAAGCAAAGATCCAGTTTACCCTTACCTTCTTTTTGTCTCCTTTATTCCCACCATGAACCCCCAGCTCCCACATATTTTGGCCTTCTCCATGAGAAAGTTTGGAGTCCTGATGTGGCACTGTAGGGTAAGAACTGAACTCCTAACCAAAAGTTCAGCAGTTCAATCCCACCAGCCACTTCTTGGAAACCCTATGGTGGGTCATTATGAGTTGTAACTGTCTTGACTGCACTTTAACAACAACAACAAATTATAAAGTTTAAGGATCATTTTAAGTAAGAAACTTTGAAACTTAGCATCAAGAGCCAAGCGCCTGTTGAAATAGCAACACTAAGAAAGATATTTGATGATATTACAGAATTTTTTTTTTTTTTTTTTTTTTTAGTTGTATCACACTTACATCTTTAAAAGAGGTCGTTTTCTTCTGGTGGTACTGAAATATTTACCATAGATGGGAAGCTTTGCTGTCTGGGATTTGGTTGTGGGCTATGGGAATGGGACAGGGATAACATGAAACAAGACTGGACATGTGTTGATGGTTGTTCCAGCTTAGTGATGCCCACTGGGGATTTATTCAACTGTACTGCCAACTTCTGCACATGTTTGAAATCTTCCATGTTATGAACTTAGAAAGAAATAGAGACAGTGACTCCAAAGACGGCATTTTTACACTAAAGTGATAGATGGCAAAAGAATGCTAATTTCCCATAGAGAAAGCACATTGCAAAAGGCAGCTGATGGCAGAAATGACATTCACCCTTGCCTGGGTGTCAGGTACTATGGGTGTTTGGCATTTGAATGTGAGATCCCATTTCATACACTGATCACCTCTGAAATTTGCAATTTAAGTGGTCTCTACCCTGTTTACCCCTTTATTTCTCAGCGGTTGAAATGAAGGAGCTTTGTAATATGCTGTTCTCTGTTAAATCTCTTTTATCACTGAAACTGATGTGTTTGTTTAATGGTTTGCAAATATATTTATTGACAGCTTGAGACCAAGTTCAAAAGTAACTTCGGTACAAGCATCTTGGCTGACAGAGAAGAACCCCTTAGATGCTTGATAAAGTTCTCCAGTCCACACCTCATGGAAGCCTTGAAATCTTTAGCACCAGCTGGTGAGTAGTCAGCTGCTATTATAGCATCCCAACCCTCAGGCCTGCCTTTGTGACTCATCCCCTCCATGCTTGCTCCTTGCCTTTGGCAGTTTTCTGCCCATGAGCCACTTCGCTATTTGTGGCCACTTTAAATGGATACAAATCTTGGCCTCTGTGCTTATGTTAAATTTGTTTTTCTCTTTTTTTTTATTTCAGGTATTGCAGACGCACCACTTTCTCCATTGCTCACTTGTATTCCCAACAAGGGAATGAATTATTTTAAAATTAGAGATAAATGAGGTGTATGTGGTTTTATGAGCCCAGCGGGCCCTTGACGATATTGCACATGCGTTTCAATCTGTGGCTGACTGGATCCCTTCTGTCCATCAATTGCATCAGTTGTCTTTCACACATTAGTCCTTGGTATGGAAATTTTAGAAATGTATATATATGCTTTAGGGACTCCTTCTCCTGATTTCCCCCAATCATCCTGAAAAGCATCACAAATGTATGGGCATTTGAGATGTGAAGGGGTATGTATATAGATATATACCTCTAGTTTACTGTTCCTCAGCTTTGGGGAGACCTGGTTCCAGTTGCTGACTCCCAGAAAATATCTTTCTCTTAAACTTTGGATCATGGAAAAATGGAAAATTTCCACCAACTTTTGGAAGTCCCCACAAATATTCATTCATTCAGAAAGCAGACCAAGAAACCACACCTAGCTCAAACATTTCTAGGAGTAACATAAAATGGGTCCATTCCAAGACCAGAGTTGGGTCTATTACGTTATTATTGCAGGAAGCAGCATATCCACTTATTCCATTACATAAAACAAGCATTTCCTTATAACTATATACTTCATAATCTACCCTGTCGTATAGATGACATTCAAATTGATATTATACAGATTTGTGAATAAAGATATTTAAAAGCTGCTCTATAAGTTCGTTTTGATGAGAATCCTTCCGTGATCACCAGTAAATATTGCTGCTGCTGTATGCTGTCGAGTTGCTTCCAACGCTATATAGGGCTTCCAAGGCTGTAAATTTTTATGGGAGCAGAAGACTTCATTTTTCTGATGCAGAGTGACTGGTCCATCCTAACTATAGATGTTACAGTTCGCAGCCCAACACAACCCACTAATCAACAATAAATGGTGGTGGTTAGGTGCCATGGAGTCAGTTCTGACTCACAGCGACCCTGTATAGGGTTTCCGAGGCTGTAAATCTTTACAGGAGCAGAAAGCCTCATCTTTCTCCCGCAGAACAGCTGGTAGTTTCCAACTGCTGATCTTGAGGTTAGCAGCCCAACTGTATCCAGTACCCTACTAGAGCACCTTGTGTTTTTATCGTTAATTTTAAAATCTCTCTTGTTCCAAAAGGATTTGAGGCTATAAACATGTTCCGGTATGGCACAAATGAAAGGTAAAGAAATCCGGGCAGATGAGAAGACAGAAAAAACGAGAGGATCAGAATGAAGCTAGGAAAACAGATCAGTTACACCCATACCTTTTTCTCCCCAACAACATCCAGGTGAAGCTTTACAGCAGTCCCGTCCGGCGTCGCTGGCCGGCAGAGGGCGCTGCGAAGTAGGAGCGGGTCGGTCTGGAGCGTGAGCTCTGCCGCTGCCCTACCCCGCCGGATGCTAATGAGCCGGTCGCCCCGCCCCTTGCCGGAAGTGGCCCTGGCGGAAGGTGGGGCCTGCACCCTGGCCGGGCGCCGTGGGAAAGCCATGGCGGCCTCTGAGGCGGCGGCGGCCGGTCCCGCGGCTGTAGCGTCGGGCGCCCCAGCTGTCCCGGCGGCCGCGAGGGTTGCCGCCGCCGCCTCGGACCCGCGTGTGCCGCCGGGACGGCTGAGAGGCAGCCGGTCACGACCCGCGGCGGCCAGGCAGCAGCCTACGGCTCCGGTGCCGCCGACCCGGGAGCTAATCCAGCCGTCGGTAAGCGAGCTGTCTCGGGCGGTGCGGACCAACATCCTGTGCACCGTGCGCGGCTGCGGCAAGATCCTGCCCAACAGCCCGGCGCTCAACATGCACCTGGTCAAGAGCCACCGTCTGCAGGTGAGCCGGCCCCACCTGCGCGCGCGGGATCGTGGCCTGGACGCGGGGCACGGGAAAGGAGGCGCGCAGCCTCGGGATCCGGGGTTCCTGAGGCGTCCCCACTCAGGCGCCTTCAGCTTCGAGTCGGAGGCGGCTTTAACGTAGGCGCAACAGGCTCAGCACCTGCCCCAGGGGCAATGAGCGGCGAGTGCAGAGAGCACCCAGGTAGAGGTGTCCCTCCTGTCGGGGCCGGCCTGGTACACAACTTGTGTCCTGAGTTCCCACGGCAGCTTTGTGAGGTGCGTGCAGTCCGCACTGGATTGATAGGAAACATGACAGCCTGGGTGGTGGAGGGCCTGCGGATTCGGTGCCCCCCCGGCTGGTTCCCACTCGGGCAGCGCCGTGCACCGTAGGGCAAAACGCTGCCGGGATTCAGCCTGTTGTTGCGGTCCCTGAGTCCGTCCGTCTCGTTGAGGGTCGGCCCTTTTTCGCTGACCCTCCACGTTACTGATCCCTCTTGATAACAGGTGTGAAGTCTGAGAGGCGTAGTGTCGCCATCCCCTCTGTGAAGATGTCTATGAACACAGGTAGTGAGCCTCGTAAAATGCTTCTGAGGAGCACTCTGGCTGCCCTTCGTCTGTCCGTGGTCTGTCGAATATTCACCCCAAGACAGCAGGATTCATTGGCAGCTTTCACATCCATAAGAGGCGACTGGAAAAATACCACAGCTTGGGGTTAAGTGCACCTTAGTCAGCAACATGACACCTTTGCTTTTTAACGTTTTAAAAAGATCTTTTGACAACAGATGTGGCTAACGGATCACGTTGTTTGGGTTCTTAACGGCTGCTTCCATGGGCATTGATTTTGAATCCAAGTAAAGTGACATCGTTTAGAACTTCTGTGTTTTCTCCGTGTACCCACATGTTCTTTATTGGTCAGTTGTGAGGATTTTGGTTTTCTTGATGTTGCAAAACTGAAGGCTGTAGTCTCTGGTCTTCATCAGTAAGTGCTTCATGTCCTCTTTGCTTTCAGCAAGCAAGGTTGTTATTTGCATATGTTGTTGTTAGTACCATGGAATCCGACCCTGTATAGATTTTCCAAGGATCACTTAGTGGCTAATTTGAATAATCATTTATTCCATTCGCTTTCGTTACTCTACACTATGTTCAAGAGCACGTTTCAGAGTCTCTCTTGACATCCATTATGGTTTTTATTTTATGCTTTTGCTTTTTTCATGAATGACATCTATGATTTTATTCCACAATTTTTGTCTGGTCTTTAACCATTATTATTCAGTGTGTCAAATCTAAATTCAGATGGGTTATACTTAAGGTCATATTCTGGCTCTCACGGACTTGTTTGAATTTTCTTCAGCTCCAACATGAACTTGTATATGAGCAGTTGATGCTCTGTTCCATAGTCAGTCCCTGGCTTTATTCTGATTTACAAAATTGTGTTTCTCCATTGTCTCTTTCCACAGATGTAGTCGATTTGGTTCCTTTGCATTCAATCTAGTAAGGTCCACATATATAGTCCTCATCTATGTTGTTGAGTAAAGCTATTTGCAATGTATGAGTTGTTGGTCTTGCAAAACTCTCTCATGCCATCTCTGTCACCAAGGCCATGTTTTCCAACTGTTGCCCTTTTTGTTTCCAACTTTTTCATTCTAATCACAAGTTAATTATCAGTGCATCTTGACTACACGTTTCATCAATTTCAGGCTGCGGATGTTGGTAAAAATCTTCAATGTCTTCACCTTTGGCATTAGTAGTTGGTGTGTAAATTTGAATAATAGTCTTATTAACTCATCATTGTTACAGCAATATGGATATTATCATATTGTTGACAGCATTGTACTTCAGGATAGATCTTTAAATGATTTTGACAATAAATATGATGCAGTTCCTCATCAGTTTGTCATTCCTGGCATAGTAGACCATGTTGTTGTGTGTTGCTGAGTCAGTTCTGAATCACTGTGTACCTGCATAAGGTTTCCGAGGCTATAAATCCTTATGGGAGTTAAAAAGCCTCATCTTTCTCCTGCTGTGCGGCTGGTGGTTTCAAATCTGACCTTGTGGTTAGCAGCCCAATGCATACATAGCCCGCTATACCACAAGGGCTCCTTATAATAGACCAACTTGTAAAAAATGAAGCGGAACACTTGAAGATGGAATTTTCCAAGATGCTTACTTTTTACACTCCAGATTCTGATTATTAATGAATGATGGTAGCAGTTTCTTCTCATTTTGAGTCATGTCACATCAGCAAGTGAGGATCCTGAAAGCTTTACTGCATTTAAGTCATTCAGGTGGACTCTGCTTTAAGGAATCAGCTCTTTCCAAGCCATAGTGTGAAAGCCTCCCAACCTTAGGGGCTCTGTATCAAACATTGCTCTGTTGCTCTTCGTACCGTTGTCACGAGTCCGTTTCTTCAGAGGTAGATCACCAGGCCCTTCCTGACCTGTCGTAATCAGGAAGCTCCACTGACACCTGTCTTATCCTGGGTGATTGCTGGTGTTTGATAAAACCAGTGACATCGTTTCTAGCGCCACTACAACACGCATGCCAGCTCAGTAGGACAGAGTGACAGGCAAGTGGTGCACTGGGATTTCAACCTGGTTCTGAAGTCAACTTCTTTCCACCACATCCGCAATACCTCATAAGTGCCTATAGTCTGCCAGCTTGTTGGAAGGAACCACAGATTGGTCTCTAAGCTCCATAACTTACAAGTGTCCCCTAAGAAGATTCTTGCCCACTGAGTCCCTGTAAGAGATGACCAAGTATATGATCACAGTAGTCTGAACAACCCCTCTATATTATGTGAAAAGGGTGGTGATTTTAGGCCTTTGATGCACTTCTATGGAAAGCTTACTAAAAATTCGGATGTACAGCCACATCTCAGATCTGCAAAATCATAATTTCTCAGTCATCCCAATGGAAAGTTTCCTTCCCCCACTTCTTAATGTCCTTCTATGCTGGCTGTGACAGAATACGGAAGCACAAGTCACTGAAAGCTTTGTAGAGATGTAAGTTTTGATGGTCTAGGTTGATTCAGAAGGAAATGTCTATTAGCCAGGAGACTTACTTAACAGGTAAATCCTCTGTTTCTGAGAAGAATTTTACTGCAGAAAGCTTGTGATTAGACTCTCTAGTGGATCAGAGAAGTACGTTGCTCATGAAGGGTGGTCTGCTTTGACCACCAACTTAACAGGTGCGGCAGCCTTTTCACGTGAAGATGAAGGAGGTGTGCAGAGGAAGTATATAGGCAGAGCCCAGTTTTCCTCAAAATGACTTTTGAGTTTCTTCCAACACAAAAATACCCAAGTACTGTGACTCTGAGAATGATCTTCAGTCTCCTGTTTTCTCTCTTATGTAGACTTTTAACTAGATAGGTCCTTTTCTTAAGTTGGGTGGATGATCTGTGTATTTGTAAGAATTGTGCTGCCCAGCCCATTGGCGGTCTTTAGTTCATATATGAGAGTAAGTCAAAAAGTATTGCTTCTAGGATACCAGTTCATATATGCATGGGTTGATTCCAAACAAAGCATGTTTAAACATGCCTCTGTAATCAGTAGATGGCTACAAGACAAGTTCTCTCAGTAATGCACTTGTCTTAGTTCCATTAGGGTGCCCTCAAAAAACCAGCCCAGTTAAAACAGTGGCTTCCAAAGGGATCTGCTTGAACCTGTTCAAATCAAGGTAGAGTTAAGAAAAAAAAAGCCTCATCTTTCTCCTGCTGTGCGGCTGGTGGTTTCAAATCTGACCATATAGAAGGTTATGGCAGATGTTTTCTGGGATTCCCCAGGAGTCATCTTGGTAGATTTTCTCAAAGGATACAGGATGGTCACAGGGGCTTATTAGGAAGAAGCCTGAAGAAAATGGAATACTGTATTGGTGAGGTAAAGGTCAGGAAAGTTGTGCTGAGGAACTTTTGTCCATCACAACAGTGCACTTGTTCATTCCCCGAAGGAACCAGGAGCTTTCCTAAAGGAATTCTGTTAGGAACCATAGCCTAGCCACCCGATAGTACTAATCATCCTTCAGACTTCTTTTTGTACCCCAAACTCAAAGAACATTGAAAAGGAACACAATTTGAGTCCCTCAAGGATATCAAAACTGTCCTTTTGACTTGGTGTCTTTTCAAGAGGCTATATAGTGTGCTTCAGGAAAGGGCTTTGTTGTTAAAGTGCTGTCAAGTCAGTTCCAAGTGATAGTGACCCTGTATAGGGTTTCCACGGAGCAGTTGGTGGCTTTGATCCACCGACCTTGTGTTAGCAGTCCAGTGCTTATTCTGCAGCACCACACCAGGTCTAGGGGAAGAGTTAGAGAAATGAAAACACCACCTTCAAAATTATCTAGAGTTGGGTGGAAGATATGTCAAGAAACAGTAGTTTCACATTTTGATGATTTTGTTTAATAAAGGTTTCTGTGATTGTTCAGCAATGCTTTTTGGCTTACCTTTGTACAACACACAGCACCCACTTTCAGTGTGGTCCCCTCACTCACTGACCAGCAGTATACCTCTGGACTTGTTTTAATTTCTTTCAGCTTCAGCCTGAACTTGTATATGAGCTATTGATGGTCTGTTCCACAGTCTGCCCCTAGCCTTGTTTCGTCTGATGATCTGGAGCTTTTCCATAATCTCTCCACAGAAATGTAGTCAGTTTGAGTTCTGTTATATTCCATCTGGTCAGACCCAACTTTATAGTCATCTTTTATGTTACTTAAAAAGGGTCTTTGCAATGAAGAAGTCATTGGTCTTGCAAAATTCTATCATGTGTTGATCTCCAGCATCATTTTTATCACCAAGGCCGTATTTTCCAAGGACTGATCTTTCTCCTCATTGTTTCCAACCTTTGCATTCCATTAATTGTCAATACATCTTGATTGCATGTTTGATCAATTTCAGACTGAAGAAGTTGGTAGAATTCTTCAGATTCATTCTCACTGGCTTTAGTGGTTGGTGTGTAAGTTTGAATAAAAGGGTTATTGACTGGGCTCCATGTAGACCTATGGCTATTA